AACTTCGTCTATACTCTAATAAAAAGTTCCCCAGGCCAAAGAGGTCACCTTAATACCAAAAAAAAAAAAAAAAAAAAAATTATAAAAATTTAAAAAATACTCTTAGATTTATATATATAGTACTAATTACTTTGTTTAAAATTATGTTATTGGTAAGTTATATTATTGAAATAGCCCATATTTCAAAATTAATTATTTTATTAAACAAAAAATCTAATTTAAATCTAATTATTTTAAACTGAATTATGATTTTTTTTTTATAAATTTCTAACAATTTGTAGAATTTTAATTAATCACATCAAAAATAAATAAATTTTAAAGCGCAATATTGTAGTTAGTTATCATAACAGTCTAATCAGTATAAGTATTATAAGCCCGGTTCTTATAAATATATTTACACATAAAATTCGATTTTATCTACAAGTATATTGTTCTTAATCAATAAGTTTACTTTCGAATTGAAAAACATAGAGCTATAACTATTTTTTCCATAGAATCACACTATTTATATTATGAATTTGTAATAAATCATTATTAGAAGCATCTCAATTAATTACACGCTCTAATAATAAGAGTAAACACTGACCTTAACTTAATTGGGTTATTTGAAAAACAGATTAGTATGCTTATTAAGATATGATTACTACAAAACACAAGCAATTTTGTTTCAGTAGAATTATAGATAAATAGAATTTACATTTTTTTGCCTCCCAAAAGAATGACTAAAATCGAACTTTGTAAAGCAAATTATTTTTTTTATTATAATGATTTACTAAAAACAAAATTAAGCACACAAAAAAAATAATTGTTGATTCGTATTCATTAATCCAATTATTGAAATTGTATTATAAATTCTGTAATTTTATATCTATAGCTACCAAAACCCTTATTATCCTCTTTGATTTTGCTGACATTTCAAAACACAGGTACCGTAGTTACTAAATAAAATTTAATAGTTACAATAAAGTATTTATATACTGTATTACGACAAAATAAACTCACCTCAAATAAATTTTCAGAACTTTGGTCACCAAAATAGCAAAAGAGATCAGTTTGCTTTTTTGATGCATTTTTCATTTTTTCAAAATGATATACTTTTTTGTGTAACATATCTAACTCTTCCGGCTTAAATCCATTATCACTTTCTCTTTGTTCCTGGAATTGAATAAGGACATTCAGCGCATTTATTGCTTCTGGCAAATTCACTGGAGGTGGTGGGGACACTTCATCTTCTTCAGAATCTGTTACCGTTGATTCAGGATCAAATGTTTCATGAACTATCGCAAGAATTTCATCATCATTCATTACATCTTCCGTTGCAAGAGGCTCATCAATGACCCTATAATATAACTCAAGATCTTTCTTAAGTTCAGCTGCCATCAGGTCTCTGTTAAATAAAAAACAAAAAAAATCAATTTTATAAATATATACTATATTTAAAAAAAAAAAAAAAAAAATAGAAAATAAGAAACCCATCATCAGTAAGGTCAATGGTCTCATATTCATCATCAGTATCCATAAAAAATGGCTCTTGCTCTGGTTCATCGCTATTGGTTACATCCGGAAGTATGCCAGTAGAATTCTAACAATTTCTGATCGTGATATCACTTACTTTATCCCATGAACGCACAATAAAATCAATGGCTTGTTTGATATTCAATTTATTACTATAATTTGATAAATATAATAAATTAATAACTATCAAAACCACATTTAAAAAAAAAAGAAAAGAAAAATTTTCTTTTCTAAGTCGCATTTCTTCTTAAATAACTTTAAAATATGCTGAGAATAAAATCGTTTGTACTTTGACTTAAAACTTTTGATTATGCCCGAATCCATCGGTTGAATATGAGATGTTGTATTCGGTGACAAATAGTATACTGTTACATTAGTTAATATAGCATTGGTGCTTGAGTCTGCGGAACTTAAAGAAGTGTGTGAACGTGCATTGTCAACAATCAGTAGAATCTTCCGTTTTTGACTGCGAAAAATACTATCAATATATCGTAGCCATTCTTCCCATATATTTGATCTCATCTATGCCTTCTTATTAGAATGATAAATCACCGGAAGTTGAGAAATATTAATGTTTTTAAAGCACCGTGGTCTTTCAGATTGTCCAATTACAAGTGGTCGAAGTTTATGTTTTTCAGTGGAATTTGCCGCAAGTAATACCGTAACTCGTGCTTTGTCCTATTAAAAAAAAAATTAAAATAACATATATATACTGTATATAAAATATATATACATATACAGTAATTAAGAAAAAAAAAAAGATTTTACCAATTTTCTTCCATGTTGCTGTCTATCTGAGAGTGTTTGGCTAGGAAGCATGCGAAAAAAGAGCCCAGTTTCATCTGCGTTATAAATATCATCAAGATGGTAGTGGGACGTAATATCTTGCAGTTGTAGTCAAAATTCTGGCAAGGATTCAAGTGGTGCACTTTCAGATTTGCCATGAGTTGTAATACAACGGAGTTGATTCCTTTTTTTAAATTTAGTGACCCAACCGGATGAAAATGATAAATCCTCTTCCTTAATATCAAGTGTGTGAGCAAACTCCATTCCTTTTTCTCTTAACAAGTTGTCACTTAAAGGCATATTTGCAGCAACAACTTGTTGTACTCAAGTTCTCATGGCAAATTCAAGTCTCAGAAATTTTACAGGCTTATGACGAAACTGGTTTTCAGATACACTTTCATCTTTTACATTTTTATATAGCTCATGGTTTTTCAAAACTTTTGATATAGTAGAACAGTCTAATTTTAAGCCTAAATATCTTTTCATAAACTCTTGTGCGATTTCATGATGTTTTGCATTCGGATTTTGTTGAGCATATTCACAAATTTTCTTTTGTTGCAAGTCATTTAGATATCCGCGTGTTTTTGGAGCTTCATAGTTTACTAATATTTTTGAAAAATTTGTAAATTCAAGGCATGTGAATTTACATTATTTATATCATGACAAAATGTGTAACATGCACATACATATAAAAATTTTTTAAAAAAAAAGAATGGCAATGTCGCTTGATCTCCTATGTGAACTCAATTTTTCTATTAAAAAAAAAAGAGATAAGTAAAATAACAATAACCTTTTTTTTTTTTTTTTTTTTAACGTTTTACCTTATGTTCTTTTTTTTCAACATTTTACCTTACATTGACTTTTTTCATTTTAACATTTTATCTTAAGTTTCATCCATCTTTGATGAACCAGGTAGAGGCAAAAAATTAAGAAAGTTTGGTACTACTAGTACCCGCTCTTAACAAAAATCTTTTTAATACGTACACAATACCATCTAGAATAAAGGTATTTACGTCTTATTTGCAATCTAAGATAAATTATGGGATTATAATAGCGCAAGATAAGTTTTTTCCATTGTTATATTGTTATCGTTACTCAACCTTTACTAATGCTAATCTAATTCAAAAAAAAATTAGGTACAAACTTATTTATAGTAGTATTGTCATACTCTCAATAATAAAAATTCATTAACCGATCATAATCGTTATATAGACAAACTCTACTGCTGATTAGTACCAGTGACAAAATTTAGAACCTTGCTCTATTACTAGAAAAGAGAGATTAGTAGAAATTCAAATATCATGAAAAATCAAAATTAAGAAAAATAGAAACTTGAAATACTTATAAACAGTGTTGTACATTTTGACTATCCCGGACCTTTTTGATCTTGTCCTGTCCCAGGACGTCCCAACCTTGTCCCATTAATTGCTTATAAATGTAATTTTATAGAAAGCTGTTTTTATTTTAGATATTTTTATATTTTAAAATTGTGACTATATAAAAATTGTAATTTTATAGATAAAATTTATTTAAAATCGTTTACAAAATTTGGTGATAGTGCTTATATAGAAATTGTGACATTATAGAAAGAATTTTAATATAAATATAATTGGGACCGAATTTTTAGGTGAATAAATAGAAAATGTGACTATTAGGGAGGTGACTATATGGGAGTGCGACTGTATATAAATTTATTATAATAATACAGCTTAACCTAGATAGCATTAACTATCTTAGCCAAACTTACTATTATGTATACTATTACAAATTGCTAATTAATAGATTTTGATTAATACTAATACAATAACATAACTCATATTCTCAAAAATCATTTTTCCAAAAAGAAATTAGTTAGTATTATGTTTCTTTTGAGAAAATAATATTTGAAAATCATACAGTAACTTGATACAATACTGAAATAATATTACTGCTAAGCTGTAAGATAATAAATAAATTCTCATATACTTAGAAAAAAAAAAATAATTGATACTTATTTAATATGATAAACAAATGCAAAGATTTTTTAAATAAATTAAAATTATACTAGCTTTTTGCTCATAACCTTTGTATGAGAATTTTTTTAAAAAATTTTATTTCTATAAAAAATTCTGTTGCAAAACTTGCTATTCTAGTAATTAAAATATTAAGGTTAAATTAATTTGAATCAGAATTATTGTGACTTCTAGTAATAAAGGTTGAGTTAATTTGTATTAGAATTATTGTAATTTCTTTTATCAATTGCCAAAAAAAAAAAATTGTTATAAAACTACTTGCTATTTCATAATTAAAAAATGTAGTATTAGTTTGTATTGGAATTACCATAATTTTTACTTTAAAATTTTATTATAAAATTCGCTATTTTAGTAATAGTAGAGATATTATGTAGTCTGGTCTTAGATAAACAAACCATAGTTAGTCTTAAGACCAGTCTAAAACCCAAAAAAATTTGGTCTGCTATATGTCTTAAGATCTAATCAGACTAAACCAAACCAGATTGCTATTATTCCTACACTCAATGAAATATAGTATATAGTCAAAGTCAAGTTATTTATATTAGAATTATCATGACTTTTATCATAAGCTACAGCAAAACTTACTTGCTACTCCAGTAACAATAGATTGTAATTAAAGTTGAGTTTAATTGCTTTAAAATCTTCAGATTAATAATTAGTTTGCTTTTTTTTTTTTTTTAGAAAATAAAAAATTCAATCTACTAAGCCACTTTGAACTCAAAATACTGAGAAGCTGTATAGAAGGAAGTAACTGGTTCCAAAACTATAAAAAATCATTCCTTTACCTTATACTCTTTAGTTTTTTTTTTTAAATCAAAAAAAAAAAAGTTTGAGTCAAAATTTGATAAAGAAAAAATCTTGGTATCTAAGCCTTACATATATATATTTTTTTATAATACAGTACAAAGTGGTAACTAATAGCAATAGGGCAGATAACAAAAAGAGATGTTAATACAATAAACAAAACCCCAAAAGATAGGAGGCGTGGTTTTATTATAAACTTGGTTCATGATATCACATAGTTAAATTTAGAAATGAGTAGATATTTAATTTAACAATAGCATTGCTGTATTGATCAAAGTTTAATTAATTGTTACTTTTAATATAAAAGATATCTGATTACTAATTGATACTTTTTCTCTTTTACTTTTGTTTAAACAATAATTATAGTTTTATAAATAATATGGGAAGAAATAAAGACAAAATAGTACAAATTTATAGAATTATACGAAGGAAAAACTACTTAGAAAACCTTACTTTTACTATTACTCTTGAAGTTTTAGAACTCACTAAGTTATTTTTATTGAGACAAAAAGATAACACTTTTATACTTTTCTCACTATTGGTACAGAATAGATACGTTTGCTATATATATGTAGCAAATAAAATTACTATATTATTAAAGTTATTTAAATATATAACTAACTATATATATATATTATCTTACTATAGCATTTACTCTTTGAATAATTATTTCAATTTGTTGTTCAGTAAGCTTCGAGATTGTATTAAATTTATAAGTTCTAATTTAACTGATTTTATCTATACTAATTATTTTGAACAAATTATATACATTTCTAGCTCTTTGTATACTTTTTTTTAAAGTTTTTTTAGTAATATCAGATCGATGTTCTAATATTTCTTTATAGATCTTAGCTTTGGCTTTGTTCAAATTTATTCTGCTAGTTTGTAGTACTTTATTATCTCAATCCTCAAATACTTTAGCAAATCGATACCAGGACCATATTTTAGCATAGTTTGCTAATATTGTATACTTTTGAGAATGTTTTGCTTTATTATAAAGCTGAACTAAACTTAATATTGCATTTTTATTACTTTTCTCTTCACTACTACTAACTCTAAATATTTCTTTACTAGGAGTAATTAAATCAGCAAGAATTTTTAAAAAATTTCTTTCTTTTCTTAGGTTAGCAGTAAAGCTACTAGGTTCGATAAATAATGTAGATATGGTAAAATTACCAGACTTGAATGTAATGAAATTATTAGAGGTATTAATAGCAATAGATATAGCTGGGCTACTAAAGCTTGCAATTGTAGCTACAAGATTGCTAGAGTTAGTACTAGTAATAGTAGATATAGCTAGATCACTTGTAGATGTGATAAGATTATGAGAATTGGCAATTAGTATAGAAGGTATAGATATATTCATAGTAGTAAATTCGATTAGAGTATATTCCATAAATAATACAGATATATTTACTGTAGTAAATTCAATTGGAGTATATTCTATAGATATAGATATATTTATAGTAGTAGGTTCAATTAGAATATATTCCATAGATGTATTTACAATAGTAGATTCAATTAGATTAATTTGCTGATTAGTACTTGTAGAAAAGTTTTCTGTATTTTTTAAGTCTTTATTTTGACAAATAGAACAAATATATTTTGATTCAGAAGTCTAACAATTAATGCATTTGGTATAAAAGAAGTAGTAACATATCAAAATTATAATTGGACATTGAAAAGTTGGACTAATTTTAGACAAACATATCATACAATTATTATGTTCATTTGAATCTGAAATATTTTCAGGTGTATTTTGAAAAAAAACTTTGTATATAAATTGTTTTAATGTTTTTATTTTCTTTTTCGATAATAAACAAGGTTTGTTTTGACAAAAAAATTATTTGCAATTCCTATTATTTATATAACTTTAACAATATAGATCTTCTCACAATATTTTTTTAAATCTTTTCACAACTTATCAAATAATAGATAAATATAACTTATAGTGAACAGATATAAGAAGTCTTAAATAAATCATTAATAATACAGACATTAAACAGCTATAGTATAAGGCAATAAATATATTATTAGCTGATTTAATAAATTTTTAGAAATTAATTCAAATTTTACATATTATAATAATAAATAATTTTTTTAAATTTATAACTATAGAGATACTTTTTACAATATCATGAGATTTTATAGATTTTAAAAATATTATGATTTTAAATAAATATATATATAATTAGTCAATTTAAAATATTAGAAATTTTCTTCAGTCTTATTACAAAAGTCAAGAGATTATATCTTTTTGCAAAGTGCAATAAAATATTTAAAAAATTTTTATGATTATTTTGTTTTGCAAAATTGTATTACTATAGTAGTAGTGATTAATAATTACGAATTTTAATTAGAATTAAAAAATAAAATAATACATTAATTTCATTAAGAGAAATTAAATTTATTTAAATATATCAAAAAAAACCATTATTTATAAATATAAATTTATTTTTAATCTACATATTTTATTATTAATTGCTAACTATATCATCTTATTAATACTTTCTATTATTAAATCATTAAAATTTTTAATTAATGTTTGACAATAATTAAAATAGTAATCTAAATATAGCAGAAGTATATACCGATATATACATTGTAATAGCTAATATCTGAATAAAGACAGTATGTTTAAAACATAGTATGATCCCAATAAGTAAAAATATAAATATTAATGATTGCATCAGAGGATTTTAGCTTAGAACTCTGGGAATGTAATTGACTAGAATTCACAACAAATTACTGTATAAGCACAATGGGCATTATTTAAAAATCAAATCCTTCAAAAATAACTTAAGTGAGTAGTTTATACCTGCTTATATCTTTTTGAAATACTATAGCTAATAAAATTGAAACTTATCTCTTATTCATAATTCTATCATTACTCTGTTCTACGTGATTTGTTGTTCAATCTATTTAAAAATCTTATTTTCAAGTCTCATATAATCTAATTTCATATCTTCTTTACTCTTGTATTATATATTTTTTCCTATAGCTATTAGAGCTAAATCACCCTGCATAAATAAACTCTTCAAAATTAATATTACACTACCTTACACTACCAAGGTTCTGCAAAAGAATTAATCTTATCTTTTAATCTCTTGTAGATGTAATTAAATTTTAATAACTCCCAAATCATATTTGTATAATGATTTGAATGGTACCAAAATCAACCAAATTTAATTACATGTTCACAAGATATCAAGAATGGATCAAATTCTTTATCAGAATCCAAGATCCCGATGAACTTAAATTGATCAATTCTTGATATCTCATAAACATGTGATTAAATTTAATCAATTTTGGTATCATTCAAATTGTTATACAAAGATAATTCAAATGATACCAGGATTAATCCTTTAGCGAGACCTTGGTTCCAATTGAATTTGAGGGAATGCTAAACCATTCGAATCATTTTAACAAGCTAATTCGAATAGTACCAAAATTAATCACATATTCATGAGATATCAAGAATGGATCAATTTAAGTTTATCGAGATCTTGGATTCTGGTAAAGAATTTGATCCATCCTTGATATCTCATGAACGTGTAATTAAATTTGGTCGATTTTGGTACCATTCAAATCAGCTTGTTAAAATGATTCAAATAGTACCAGAATTGCTTCAAATTTAATTAGAACCTAAGGTCTATTTTAGGTAGTATACCTACAAAAATTTTCTCCATCTGTAAATTTATAAAACTATATTATAATTAGAGTTAGAGCGAGAATAGTGTAAGGTTAGGGTTAGAGTTAAAATTATTGTTATTAGTAAAATTTCACAAAGAACACTTTTAATCAGACCACAGAAGGTGGTTTCTTAATTAAAATTTCAAGTTATTTTAGTTTATTTGTAAAAAATAGTTTTACTTTGTTTGTTTACATTACACCTGATCTTGAAATTTGATTGGCCAAAATTTACAAGTGGGAAAAATTTTTGTGGATGTGCTAGAGAGATTTTCAAAGTCTCATTAAAGAATTAATTATCTTTAATCTCTCTTAAATTTTAATAACTTTGGTACTATTTGAATTATTTTTAACAAGCTAATTTGAATAGTACCAAAATCATCTAAATTTAATTACACATTTATAAGATTTCAAGGATGGATCAATTTAAGGTTATTAGGATCTTGGATTCTGATTAAATTTGAATTCATAATTATAGAAATAAATTTAATGATAGTATTTTTTTTTTTTTTTTAGTTGCATGTTGTTATAACTTTGGTGACTCTAAAAGTTAAGCATATTTGTAAACAGTGTAACTATTATAAGGCATGCTGAGTTTAGCAATAGTTGACATTAAAAAAGTATATGAACTTAATATTTCTAGGTAAAAAGTTCAGTTTGTTTAATTAAAGATTATAAGTCAACATTGAATATAATGGTTAGTAATTCTCTACTTTCACAGCAGGGTTATTTTAAGCAATTTCTTTTATCTAGACCTTTGGCAACTTCATTTCTCAGATATAGGTTAATCTTAAAGAATAAAATTGGTTGGTTAAATTAGTAAATTGTTGCACTACATTATTTTTTAATTGACTAATTCTTTTTTTAGTATAATTTATTAGGCATTTATAATATATAAAAAGATATGAATTTATTTAAAGAATTTAGTAAGCATATGTTATATTCTCAGCTATATATATATTATGAGTTACAAGATATCAATATAAAATCTTTATATATTTCATGTATAGGCAATAATTATAAATTTGTATATTTTGAACATATATATAAGTATATGAATTAAGTCACCAAGAATACTTTATTAGAAAAAAATATAGATCGTCTAATGCTAAAGCCTAGTTGTAATTTATATGCATCACATAATTTTTAATTTGCAAATTTGTTAGTAATTAATTTAAAAACTTTCTAGAATACAACAATAAAGTAATATATATATAGTATAAATTACGTATAAGATAGCAATATAAACCAATTTTTATTAAGTATATTAAATTTGCAAATTTGGTAATAATCAATTTAAAAACTTCCTAGAAGTCAAACCATTATAACAATAAAGTAGTATATATATAAAATAGCAATATAAAATAATTTTTATTAAGTATATCAAAATTTACTAGATATATTCTTTTGATAACCTATTATCTATAGTGCTATTTGCAACTCAAATATATTTTTAATATAGTATTTAATTTAAAAATTATTTATTTAACTGTAATAGTAATAAATAAATGATCATATCAGATATATAATTAGGCTAAAACTTAAATAATCAAATTGGGTATTAAAAAAACCCCTCTTCAAATGTGTAATATTATATGAAATTTGTTTTTATCAATCATTGATATCATGTAGCCTAATGATCAGATTTGATGAACTTGGTAGTATTATTCGAATTATTTCAATGTAATGATTCGAATGACACTAAGTTTATCAAAATCTGATCACTAAACTACAAGATATCAATGATTGAACAAAAGCAAATTTCGTATAATATTATAAATTTAATTGATATTTACATGAATTTTAATTAGCAGAACCCATAAATAAAAAATAAAAAAAGAGAAAAAATATCACTAGTAAAAAATAAAAATAGTAAAACTAAGTACAGTCTTCCCTCTTTATAATTGCCTTCCATATAATCACATTATATAAAAACCTTTTTATAATCACACCCTATTTGAGCCCAATTACTATTTAATATATATAAAAAAAACCTCTACATAAGTACACCTCTTTATAAGTACATTTTTTTAAAAAAATTACTATGGTCCCAACTGTGTAATTATAAAGTGATAAGACTATAATTGTATTAATAAATAAATAATCATATTGTGCTAAATATATTAAATAAATATTTAAATTAGGTTTAAAAAAATAATAAGTTGTTAACCAAATTTATATAAATATCAATCAAATTCATAATATTATATGAAATTTGCTTTTATCAATCATTGATATCTTGCAGTTTAGCAATTAGATTTTGATGAACTTAGTATTATTTGAACTATTACATTGAGATGATTCAGATAATACTACTTAAGTTCATCAAAAATGATTACTAGATTACAAGATATCAATAATCAATAAAAGCAAATTTCATATAATATTATGAATTTGATTGATATTTACACAAATTTTAATTGATAAAATAAAAAATAAAAAGAAAGAAAAATATATAAAATAGTACTACAATGTATTTAGCTTTTTTAAAATTAATTCTTCTTAACTATTTTATCTTTAAGATACAATTTAAATTCCAAATCTTCTTAATTTGATTATATACTTAAATATAATTATAACTTCCAATATGCATATTTATACTATAAGAACTCCAAGTTCAGTTTGGCAACATTTTGATAGGCCTATATTGGTAGAAGATAAAATAAAAGCAAAATG